CCCTGGGCCCGCGGCACGGCCGGCGCGTGCAGCTCCGGCTGCCGCACTGGGGCTGCTCGCACCGGCGGCAGCTTGCTTCCTTCCCACGCTGTGCTGTGCTGTGCTGTGCTGTGCCCCTGCAGGCCGCCAAGGTGCAGCTGGGTGCTGTGGTGTCGATCGTGGACTCCAATGTGGCGCCTCCCAGCCCCATCCCCATCGCCCAGCCAGGTGGGGAGGCGCCGGGCAGCCCGCAAGCCCACCACCTCTGCGCACCGCTTGTGCTGCCGGGATGCGGCTGCCTGCATGGGCGGCCGGGCGATGCCGGTCCGATTGCCTGCCCAGCGCTGCACTGATGCGCGCCTGCCCCCGCCTCCCCCCCCACTGCTGCCAGAAGCCGCCGGCGCCGCCATGGATGCTGCTGCGTCGACCCCCATCCAGACTGGCACCACCGACGTGAGCCCCTCCCTCCCCCTGGGCCTTCCGGCAGCACCGCTTTGCACTTGGCGGCCGCATGCTCGCGCTGCCACCGGCCTGCGCTCCAGCCTGCGCTGCTTCTGGCCAGGCACACATCCGGCTGACTGCTTGCTGCTGCCCACTGCCGCCCTCGCAGGTTGCTGCCACTGTGGCAATCGACTATGCCATCACTCCAGAGGCGTAAGCGCTGGGCACCCTCACAACAAGCGCGGTCCCAGCCCAGCAGGGCGCCAGAGGTTTGCACAACAAAGAGCGTGGCGGCGCTGACCAAAGCGTGCCGCCCAAGCAGCCAGCCAGCTCCGCATGTCCCAGCGCAGCTGCCATCCAGGGTGCCGCAAGGTACCTGCCACTCTTGATTTTCACCCAGCCCTTTTGATTCCCCCAATAAGCAATGTACGGGCTTCCCGCCAGCTTTCCATGAGAGTTACTGCACCCTTCCTCGCGATTACGCTTGCCTCCCCTGACAATGAAACCCACGTAAGGCTGTTTTCATTCTGAACGCCTGAATGCAATGTACACACAAGTCACTGAAAGGGCAGTCTGATAGCAGTTGACAGATCGCGGCGCGCCGCCGCCTGACGGGCTGTCCGAGGCCGATGGGGGCCCACCTACGGGCCCACCGGCAGCAGCGCCGGCTGGTTGAGCGTGCGGCCTCCCGCGGTGGCCAGCGTGGCGCCGTGGCGCAGGCTCACAAAGGCGTCTGCCGGCAGCTGCGCCTTGGCCAGCTCCCTGGGCAGCCGCTTGGAGGGCTCGTCCATGGGCTCGTCTGTCAGGCTGCACAGCAGCAGGCCAGGTTCGCCGGCAGTGAGGGAAGGAAGGGATGTGTGCACAGCAGGCATTGCACCAAGGGTGCAGGGATGGGGATGCAGCAGGGAGAGCAGGGGACGGGAGCTGTGTGCAAGAGGCAAGAGCAAGGGGTCCGCGGGAGGCGGAGGCTAGCGGCCAGCCGGCCGGCGTGCTCACCAGAAGGTGGCGTGGTGGCAGGCCACGCTGCGCATGCTGCGCACGTCGCGGTGCACCTGCACCGCCTCGGCGGGGTCGATGTGCTGCGGCTTCATAAACCAGCGCGGCTCGTAGGCGCCGGTGGGGATGGCGGAGAGGTCAAAGGGACCCAGCCGCTGGCCAATCTCGGAAAAGACGGGGGCGTAGCCCGAGTCGCCGGCAAACCAAAAGCGCCTGGGAGGCGGGCAGCAGGAAGGCGGGGGCAAGGACAGAGGCAGGTGGAGGGAGGCGGGGAGGCAGGTGCAGACGGGTGGGCCGGCGGGAAGGTGAGGGGGCAGCGTGGGTGGAGGAGGGGAGAGCAGCAGCCAGCGTGGCAGCGCCTGGCGCCAGCACTGCGTGCAGTGCACTGCAAGAGTGTACGGCGGCGCGCGCTCACCGCCGCTCCCCCAGCACCGCCCAGCCGCCCCACAGCGAGGCCTTGCGGCTCCAGGGGCTCCTCATGCTCCAGTGCTGGGCAGGGGTCAGCACCACCCTGCAGGCCGGGGGGCAGGGCAGGGGACAAGGCAGGGGACAAGGCCGGGGGCAGAGGGCAGGGGGCAGGGCAGGGATCCTCAGAGGTGGAGAGCCAGCCGTCAAGGTCAGCCCACACCCAGCGCGGCGATGCCACGCCCGCTCCTCTGGGCTCTCCCAGCTTTTGTTGTTTTTTGCGGGCCGCCAGTGGCGGCAGCACCAGCTCGGCAGCGCAGTGGAACCAGTCTGGCGGGGCACCCGTGCACGCACGTGCAGTGCTGACCAGTGCGCTGCCTCCCCACCTGACGCTGCTGTTGGGGTGCGCCGCCTCCTGCCACCAGTCCAGCTCAACCACATTGCTCACACCCCGCTCCGTGAACCAGCTCTTCAGGCCGAGCGGCACATACCTGCAGCACGGCCGTGGAGCAAACCCAGCGGCTTGCTTCGGCAGGAGAGTCCCTTGGAGACGGCAGAGAAGAGGAGCGATGCGAGGAGAGGGATGCGAGGAGTGGGGACAGCGGCAGCAGGAGCAGTGCGCCGCCACGCCTCACCAGCGCAGGCGGCCGCCAAACCGGCTGTTCAGCTGCTTCACGCTGCCCTTGTCCAGGTGGTCTGCGGCAGGGAGGGCACACACGGCAGCAGGCAGGCAGAGAGAGGGTCAGCAGCGTGCACGGGGGAGCAGAGAAGGGCTTCTGCTGAGCAAGCGGCCGCCTTCCCCTACACCAGAGGATCTGCCGGCTGGCAGGCACCCGCCCAGCAGCAGCCGGCAGCAGCGGAAACCCCACACCCCACGCAATCAGCAGCAGGGAGATCCGGCGGAGGCTGCAGGCTGCAGCCCCGGCCCGCACCGTAGTGGTTGTGTGAGAGCAGCACGGCGTCGATCTTGGGGAGATCCGGGTGGTCGAGCGGGAAGGCGGGCGGCACCACGCGCCGCGGCCCCACAAACTGCACCGGGCTGCACCGCTGGCTGAACACGGGGTCGGTGAGGAAGGCGAGGCCCTCCAGCTGCACCAGCAGCGTGCTGTGCCCCACCCACGTCGCCTGCACCGCGTCGCCTGCGGGCAGGAGGCGTGTGGGGGCTGGCGCGTGGGCGGGCAAACCCTGGCAAAGCGTGGCTGAAGGGAGTGAGCGCCGTCCCTTGTTTGGCACAGCGGCCGGGTTGCACGCTGCTGCCGGGGTGGGTCCGCAGGTGGCCCGGCAGAGCAGCCAGCCAGCGCAGCGGCCCCGCCCACACCTGGCGGGCTGTTGAGCGCGGCCCAGTCAACGGGGTGTGTGGGGAAGGCGGCGGCCCAGTCGGCCGGCGTGGGCGACATGTTTCCCTCCAGGTATCCATCAGAGGGGTATCCTGCCCTGGTAACGGGCAGGCAGGCAGGCAGGCACCGAAGCAGCAAGCAGCGACAGAGAGGTGAGGGCCCGTGGCAACAAACGGCAGCATATGGCAGGGGCGCAGCGGTCCACAAGGCAGGAGCAAGACGGCATGCCGCGCGGCAGGGGCGCAGCGGTCCACAAGGCAGGAGCAAGACGGCATGCCGCGCGGCAGGCTGGAAGCGCTGCAGCGGAGGTGCTTGCTCACTTGCGGCGCTCCCGGTTCCAGCGCAGCACATCGCCAAAGCTGCGCTCCTGCAGGGGGTTGGGAGCGGAGGAAGTGGAGGGGGCAGGGCTGCGTCAAAAGGCAACGCTGCGTGCTGCCACGTGTGGGCTAAACAGGAGTAGGAAGGGTGCTGGCGACGCGCCTCCCAAGTTGGCCAAGGATTATCGAAGCGTCCATGGCGCCAGGTGACTGCAGCAGAAGGGGTTGGCGCACCACAGCAAGGCCCTCAGCGGCGTGGGTGGGTACGTAACCCGGTGTGCAACCGCGGCGGCGGCGGCGGCAGGCCCTCCAGAGGCGGCAGAAGCGGCAGCTAACCCGTCGCGCGGTGATGAGGAGGGAGGGACGCTTCAAGAAGGTTGGGCAAGCGGTGAGAGTCGAGGCCATCTCGTCCCATCCTGAAGTAGGACGCTATGGCAGCAGCAGCCGCAGCAGCGACAGCCAGTTGACCCCACACCTTCATCAAATGAACGGCTGCCCGCGTTGCTGCCTCTGCGATCGAGCAGCTGCAGAACTGGAGGTGAGCTGGCAGCCGTACGTCTCCCCTCCCGGTGGCACCTTTGGCTTCATCATCTCACAATACAGTGAATCCAGTAGCTGCGTGCAGGGGGCAGTGCTCCAAGGCACCGTGTGTGTGTCGCCCTCCAGGGAGCCGAACCCCGAGACTGGCGCCCTGTGCGGGTGCCACGCGTCGTCAGCAACCCAAATGGAGGATGGAGGAGGCGCCCCCAGCCTGTCGGGGGTCACCAGGAGGCGGGAGCTTGGGCTGGCGAGCCCTAGGGTGCGCTGCCGCCGCTGCGGCTGCCTCCAGATACGTGCTGGCTGCAAGGGCTGTCGAATGGGAGCCCCTGGCGCCCCGGAAGCCAGCCCAGACCTGGCGCCCAGCCGCCGCCACCGGCATGCCAGCAGGCGCTGCCCGCCACCATGGGCGCACCATGTTTTGCTGGTGCAGCCGTGCAGCCTCGACTCCTGGCCTTGCCGCACGCGCATGTGCAGGCCGCCCAGCGCGCGATGCACTTCACCGAGTCTGCGGCGCGGCGGCTGAGCGTGGAGGCGCTGCTGCGAGGCCACCAGGGCTGCGTCAACCGCCTGGCCTGGAACGAGAGCGGCAGCCTGCTGGCTTCGGGATCCGACGACAGGAAGGTGTGTGGGGGAGGTGGTGTGGTGTGGTGTGTGTGTGTGTGTGTGTGTGTGTGTGTGTGTGTGTGTGAGAGAGAGAGAGAGAGAGAGAGAAGTGCAGGGGCATCGCTGGAGGTTTGGGGCGGGCACGGGCAGGCCCTCCCAGCGGAGGTGTCTTGCTGGGGCCGCCACTCTGCCGCAGGTCATGCTGTGGAGCTACCCAGACACCCAGCGCCAGCCTGTGTGCGTAGAGACGGAGCACCAGGCCAACATCTGTGAGTGGTGGCGGGGCTGGACCGCCTGCGCAGCTCGGGCACAGCGTGCGGCGGCAGCTGGGGCTGCCGGCATGCCGTGGCCTGGCCTGGCCTGGCCTGGCTTCTGCTGCACATGCCCATCCTGACGCGGCCCCACCGCGCCCCTCCCCTTGCGCCGCAGTCGGCGTGCGCTTCCTGCCGCAGACCGGCGACAGCCGGCTGGTCACCGGCGCCATGGACTACACTGTGCAGGTGCTGGCCAGCAGCGCAGGGCAGCACACGTGTCGGCGCACACGGGAAGCTCTCTGGCCAGGGTCGGGCTGCCTGGGCACTCCCGCCGCCGCTTCCACCGTGCAGACCTGTATGCGCCCCTCCCATTCCTTTCCCCTCCCCTGCCTCCCCGACCTGCAGCTACACCAGCTGGACACGCCGCCAGACAGCCAGCCGCGGCCGCTGCGCGGCGCTAGCGGCATGCGGCGGAACCCCGACACAGGTGGGGTGCCGGGGCGGCGGTATGTTGTGTGCCGGGCTGTTGGGTGGAGGCGCAGTGAGTGCCGTGCCCGCTGGCCTGGGCCCTCCCTACTCGCTCTCTCCGCCTGAAACTTCTGGTGCCGCCTGCGGCAACGCCTCCATGCCCCCGCCCATGCAGCTGCCACCGCAGCCAGCGTGCGCACCGTCGTCTACACCTGCCACCGCAGCAGGGTCAAGGCACGCCGGCGGCTGCCCTGCTGCTGCCGCGCCGGGCGCGGCTGCCTCCCGTGGCGTCCTGGCGCCGCGCCTGCCTGACGTCCCATGGCGCCGTGGCCCCTTGCTCTGCACGCCTGCCTCCCGTGGCGTCCTGGCGCCGCGCCTGCCTGACGTCCCATGGCGCCGTGGCCCCTTGCTCTGCACGCCTGCTTACATTGCCAGTCCTTCCCGCCCCACTCCAATCCCACCCGTTCACCCACCATCTTTACGTCCCGCCACCATCACCACCACCCTCGCCTCACCCACCCACCACCCCCGCAGGATGTGGCTGTCGAGCCGCTCAACCCCCACCTCTTCTGGTCGGCGGCCGAGGACGGCTTTGTGCGGCAGTACGACACGCGCCTCCCGTGAGCGGCGCCGTGCCCGGGCCTGCCCGCCGCCGCCGCCTTGCCCTGCGTTGCCTTACTATCCCGCCGCCACCGCCGCCGGTCGACAACACCCCGGTGCAAACACAAGCATCACCCCCTGCCCCCTGCCCCCTGCCCCCTGCCCCCTGCCCGCCCGCGTCCTCCCGCTTCGCAGCACCTCCCAGCAGCGCGACTTTGACTCCCCCAACGCGCTGCTGGCAGTGAGGGCCAAGGGCCGCTTCTCGGAGCTCAAAAGCCTTGGCCTCAACCCCGCCAGGCCGCACCTGCTGGCGGTGGCGGCGGCAGACCCGCTGCTGCGCGTGTACGACCGCCGCATGCTGACCGCGGGTGGGTTTGCGGGAGGCGCCGTCCCCCTTGCTTCTGGGGCGGTAGTGCCCGACGCGGTGGGCGGTCGGCGGAGGTGTTTGGTTGTGGGGGTGGTGGGGCAAGGCTGCGGGCAGTGCAGGGCCCCTTGTCACGCAGCACACAGCCCCCAGGCCCCGACCCAGCCGCACCTGCTCGCCGTGTCGTCGTTTCACCCGCCGCGCCCCTGCCCCGCCGCCGCCGCCGCTCAGGTGCGCCAGAGGGCCGCGGGGCGGGCGGCGCGCCGCTGCTGGCCCTGGCGCCGCCCCACCTGGCGCTGTGTGCGGCGGGGGCCGGCGGCGGCCGCCCCTCGCGCATGCACGCCACCCACCTGGCCTTTGGCAACCGAGGGGACAAGGTGCGCCCGCTCTCATGCGTGCTGCCCTGTGGCGCGGGGGCCCGGCTGCTGCCGCGCTTGCCGCAGCCACCTGCACCGCGCCTGCACCCCACAAATAAGTAACACTTGTACAAACACACACTCGATGCCGACCCATTTATGAAATTGCAGCTGGTAGCCACTTACCACGGGGATCATGCCTACTGCTTCGATGTGACAGGCGCAGCGTCGCCTGCCAGCAGCCCCACGCGCGAGCAGCAGCAGCAGCAGCAGCCATTCAACCTGTTTGCCCACCCGTCTGCCGCCGCCGCGCTGGCGGCCAGCAGGAGGGCCGGCGGCGGCGGCGGCGGTGGCGTCAGGAACGGCGCCGGCAGCGGCAGCAACGGGTATGCCTCGGGGAGCGGCGGCGGCGGCATGGCAGACATGCCAGGCATGCTGCCCGCGGCTGCTGAGCGGGCCAAGGCTGAAGGCAACCTGCACCTGTTCAGCAAGCAGGCAAGGAGCTAGCAAGCAGGCAGCGCTGCCAGCCGGGCAGACGTGCAGGCAGCTTGCTTGAATCAAGCAATGCATGGTTTCACCCATACATTGCACAAACCAAACCACGACCGCACACCATCTCCTTCCCCAACCCGTACGCAACCCTTGCAGCACTACGAGGCGGTACGGCAGTACAGCGAGGCCATCCGGTTGGCCCCCTGGGCACCGGTGCTGTACACCAACAGGTGGGCGGGGGGGGGGGGGGGTGCCTGGGAAGTCGGGCAGGCACAGCCCGCCCACCAGCCCTGGCTCGCCTGCCCGCCGCACGTTCCCGACGGTGCTGCTTGCACCCAGCCGGGAGGCAGCCGGCAGCCCTTCGCTCCCTCGGGCTTGCACTCACGGGGCGGGGCGTGCCGCCGCGGGTGCAGGGCGCTGGCGCTGCTGCAGCGTGGGTGGGAGGGCGACGCGCTATGCGCGCTGCAGGACGCCGAGACGGGTGGGGGCGCTCGCCGCGCCTGCCGCCTGCCCGCCTGCTCCTTCCTTCGGGCTTGACAGCAAGGCCTACTGCTGCCTGCCTGCCTGCCTGCCTGCGCGCCCCAGCGGGCTTGCCTGCCTACCTGCTCCCCCACACACCCCTGCCACGTATGTGCCCCACTCCGCCGCTGCCTGCCTGCCTGCCTCCCCGCTTGCCCCACCCCTCTGCAGCTGTCTGCCTGGACCCAGCTTTCGCCAAGGCCCACTACCGCCGCCTGCAGGCGCTGCGGGCAGCAGGCATGCTGCAGGTGGGGGCGCAGGGGCGCCGGCCAGCGAAGGCCAGGAAAACACGCCATTCGGTTGGCGGCGTCGGCAGCGCTGGTTGGCCGCCCCGCCTCCGTCACTGAACCCCCTCCGCTCTCGCCTCCCTCCTACTTCCCTGCCTGGCCCCTGGTACCCCTGCAGTCTGCCACCACCGCCGTGCGCCTCTTCAAGCAGCAGTTCCCGGAGCAGGCGGGCGATGTGGAGGGTCTGGAGGAGCAGGCAGGGCCGCTGCGCTGTGCTCTGCTCTGCTCTGCTCTGCTGGCGCCGCTGCGCGGCTGGCAAAGCCCTGGCCCTGTGCTGTGCTCATCTGGCCTGTGGCTTGGCACAGGGCAGCTCGGCTGGGGCTGTAGGGAGCAGGGACGGAGCGAGCTGCGGCGCTTGCGGGGCCATCTGCCAGCACTGGATGCCTCTCTCCCCTCGCCCTGCCCGCAGATTGCCTTGGACGTGCGGCGCCAGGCGCAGCAGGCCGAGCTGCGGCGGCAGCAGGCGGAGCAGCGGCGGCAGCTGCGCCGCCGGCGCGGCATGCAGTTTGATCGGCGGCGGCAGGAGCGGTCGGCGGCGGCTGAGCCGGCGGCGGCCACCCAAGGGCAGGGGGAGGGGCCTGACGGGCCGGCAGCAGCAGCAGACGCAGCAGCAGCAGGAGCAGCAACGGCAGCAGCAGGAGCGGCAGGGACAGCGCCGTCTGGGCAGGCGCAGCAAGGGGCTGCTGCCCGACCCGGCATTGGGAGCCCAGGCGGCGGCTCGGCTGCTGCCGGGGAGGCAGCCATGGATGCTTCTGTGGCGCCGGCTGGTGAGGCGGGGACAGCTCTGGCACTCGTAGTGGCGCCGGCGCCGGCGGCAGCAGCGCCAGCTGCGCCAGCGTCGGCAGCGGCAGCAGGCGGCGACTCTTGGGACGACCCTTACGCATCGGGTGGCAGCGAGGATGAGGAAGGCGAGGACTTTGCGGCGGCGGCGGCCGGGGCGGCGGCCTCCAGCGGCATCGACGCCGCCTATGCGGCGGCGCTGGAGGCGGCGGCCGCCGGCGGGCGCGGCGCGGACGCGGCGGCGGCGGCGCGGGGCGCTCCCAGCCTGGACGGCCTGGCCGCGCAGCAGCAGCAGGACCAGCAGCAGCAGCAGCAGGAGCAGGGGCAGGAGGCGGGAGGGCGGGGCGCCAAGCACCAGGCGGGGCACCAGCCCAGCTTGTGGAGCGCCTTTGAGGGCGGCCGCCGCATGCTGCAGGTACGGCACGCCGCGCACGCTCGGTCGCCGCCTGCTGCCGCCGCTCCGCTCGCTACTCCTCGCCCTGCCCTCCCTGCACCCTGCCGTTGCCCCGCTTGCTTGCCTCATGGCATGCTGCCCCTGCGGCCCCGTCCCGCCGCCCCGCCGCCCCTCCTTTTGTCCCCCCCTGCCCACACACCCCTTCACCCCCGCCTGCCGCTCCGCCCGACCTGTCGCCGCGGCTGTCGCAGCGGTACGTGGGGCAGTGCAACCTGCAGACAGACATCAAGGAGGCAGCCTTCCTGGGCGCCGACGATAGCCTGGTGGCGACCGGCAGCGACGACGGCCGAGTCTTCATCTTTGCTGCCGCCACGGGGGAGTGCGTGAGGTGGGTGGGTTTGTGTGGGCTGGGGGGGCGTGGGGGGCGAGGGTGCAGGGGCGCACGGTGGGCGCCACCGTGCGGGCGCCACCGTGCGGGCGGCAGGTGGGGCAGGCGGCGAGCAGCGGCGCGCTGCAGTACCACCTCTGCCAGCTGCTGCGTGTGGGCCGCAGCGGTACCGCTTCCCGTGCCGCCTGCATGTCCCACTGCATGCACCGCCTCATTGCGCCGTTGCTCCTGTACCGCCTGCTGTACCGCCGCAGGGTGATGATGGCTGACGAGGATGTGGCAAACGCGGTGCAGCCCCACCCTCACCTTCCAGTACTCGCCACCAGCGGCATAGAGAGCACCATCAAGGCAAGCATGGCGGCCTGTCCCCACTCCGGCCGGTGTTTCGGTGGCCGCTGGCGGCTGGCTGCTGCTGCAGCGCCCGCCGCGGCTTGCCTCCGCTGCTGCCTGCTTGAGGCTGGCCCGGCCCTGGATCCGCCGAGGGCCGGGTGTGTTGCTCTGACGCCTTGCCTGCGAGGGCTTCTCCCTCCTCTACCCGTCCACCCCACACTCCCACACCCATGCATCCGCCCTCTTAACCCACGCCCGCTGACGCAGCTGTGGTCCCCAGAGGGTGAGTCCACCAGCGGCGGCGACATGGCAGAGGTCATCCGCCGCAACCAGGAGCGGCTCAAGGAGGGTGAGGCGCGCGGGCTGCCGCATCCGGGCTGGCAGCTGGCGAGCAGGGGGCAGCGCCGGCTGGCCGCCGCTGCTGCCGGTACAGGCAGGCGGGGGCAGGGGCAGAATGTGCGCAGTGCAAGCACGGGCCGGCGCCCCTCTGCCGGCCGCGCGGCGCAGCAGGCAGCCGCTCCGGTGCGCTGCTTGTTGTGTCATGTGTCGAGCTGACCCTGCCGTGCCTGGCCGCTCCGGCTGCCTGCGCTGCGCGCCTGGTGCAGGCCCCACGGCGCTGCGAGGGGTGGACCCCAGGATCATCGCGGCCCTCACCGACAACCCCGAACTGCTGCGGGCGCTCATGCAGCGCGCCACGCGCCGGGGCGGCGGCGGCGGCCCGTTGGGGAGCGGCGGCGAGGGGCCCCAGGAGGGCGGGGAGCAGGAGGATGAGGATGAGGAGGAGGATGTGCGGGAGGTCAGCTGCCGCGTGGCCTGACGCCTGCTGGTGCTGCGGCCGGCTGGCATCCGTGCAAGCAGCGGGGGCGGGACCTGTGCCCGAGCGTGGCATGTTGCATGGGAGCTGTTGTGTGTCCTGCCTGCTAGTGTATGATAACGGCGCTAGGGTTACATGGAATAATGTTTGCTGTGTGGAGCCGAGCAAAGACGCATGGAGAATACATGGAGCAACTCAAGTGCAGGCGCCAAAAAGAAAGAAACCTGTGGCCAAAACTTGAGCGCAGTGCCAAGTGCCCAGCCACGCGGGCCAGGCGTGGGGCGGGGAGGCGGCGTCAGCTGCCGAACTGGAACCCGGGCTCGCCCTCGGCGTGGGCGCCACACCCCGGCCAAGGCCTCCACACATAGCTGTCCTGCATCACCGTGCACTCCACCACCCACGCAGAGGGCGCGGCGTCGACGCGCAGGGCAAGCTTGCGCTGCCGCGCCTGGCGGATGGCGCCTTGGAAGGCCGCAAGCTCCTCGGCCTCGACGGTGACGCGCAGCAGGGCCGGGTGGGCGGCCGCCACCTCCAGCAGCGCTGCCACGTGCTGCGCCCCGTCCGGCTTGAGCCGGCACACGCCCAGGTGCTCCAGCTGGGTGGCAGCCGCCAGCGCCACGGGCAGCACCAGCCGGCGCAGGCGCGGCAGCCAGGGCCAGCCCGTTGGCAGCTCCGTTGCCGCTGGCACGGCGCTCCTCCAGCTGAAGCGGCGCAGGTGGTGGAGCCCGCTGAGCTGCTGGGGCAGGCAGGGCAGCTGGTCCATCGCACTCAGCTCCAGACTGAGCTCCGTCAGCTGCCCCACCCCAGCCAATGCCTCATCCAACTCCTCCACAGCCTCCCTGGCCTTGTCCAACATCGCTGGGACTCAGGCTGAGCACCCTCAAGCTGTGCAGCTCGGCCAGTGCATCGCGACACGGCAGCTGGCAGTCGTGCAGGTGCAGGCGCGAGAGGGCGGAGAGGGTGGACAGCCGCGTGTAGCCCTCGCTCGGCTCCTGCACATGCTTCAGGCGCAGCTCGCGCAACTGGCGCAGCTCCGACAACTGCATGGGCAGAGTGGATGGGGCATGCAGGCGAGGGTGAGGGGCTGAGGGATGCGCCCGCTGGGCTGCTGGGGGCACGTCCATGTGCCATGCAATGGTTCCCCAGATGCCTGCCCCGATACACCCCCGCCGTCCCTCGCGGCACAGCGGCGCGCACCTGTTACGGCAGCCGCTGAATATCCTCCCACTCCTCCCTATTGCCACCCGCCAGCTCCAGCTTTGTGAGGCAGGCAGGCAGCTTGGCCACCGGCTGCAGCTGCAGCGGGGCCCCACGCAGGGCCAGGTCTTGCAGGGCGGTCATGGAATGGAGCGGCGCCACCACGGCCAGCGGCGCGGTGATCACCAGCAGGCGCAGGGAGCGCAGGCGGTGCAGGGCTGCGGCCCAGCTGGCCAGCCGGAAGCTGGGCATCACGTCATCAAGCTCCAGCTCCAGGTGGGTCAGGCTGCCCGCCGCGGCGCAGGCAGCCACCGCGACCAGCACGCTTTGCAGAATCTCTGCTCCGTCTGCATCCATCAGCCCATCCGGCTCCTCCTCCACCAGGCCATCGCCCACGGCGTCTGCCTCGTTGCGGAAGAAAGGGCCCAGGTGCAGCTTGAGGCGCTGCACGCTGCCCGACGCGTAGCGCAGGAGCCACTCGGTGAAGGGCGCAGGCGCTGGAGCTCTCTGGACACCCCAAAGTGCGCCTGCAGGCCGGTGGGGAGTAGCTGGGGGGCGTGGCACAGGGCCCGCCACCGCCGGCACACCGCCGGCACCGCCCTCTGCCTGCGTGCCGCAGGGGAGGCGGGGCCCAGCGATCAGCAGCAAGTTGCAATATACCAGGGCCACAATAAAGCAGGGCTTGAACGGCAAAGCTTGCAAGCCGGCACCGTCTTGATCACCTATCCATGAGGTGCATGGAGCGAAACACAGTGGCAAGCACGTTGTCGGGCATGTCATTGAGCCTCATGGCGCACGGCTGCCAGTGGGCTGGAGAAGGGCTGTGGATTGCACGGTGCGATGGGCTGGTGATGGGCGGCTGATGGGCTGGATGGCGGGCGATGGGCTGTATAGCGGGTGATGGGTGTTGGGCCTATCAGAAATCAGCTCGGAGAGGCAGCAGGGGCGGGAGAGCGGGTTTGGGCAGGTCGTGCCGTGCCGCGCTGTGCCACAGCCACTTTCTGGCAAGCCAAAGCGCCCCCCACCCTTCAACCCACCCATCGGATGAACCCAACAGCATCAAGTGGACAGGAAAAAAGCAGCAGGTATCCACCCAGGTGTTTGTACGTGTTTTCGATGTTTGTATCCACCCACGTGTGTGCGGGCAACCTCTGGGCACCCAGACGACTGGCGGCCCCCTCGTGTGCCACTAGGAACGACCATTGCTTCCGTCAAACAAGTGTGCTAAGCCGGTAAGGGCGCCCGTCATTGGCCATAAAGTGCCGTACTCGGTAGATAGCGGCCGTGCTTCTTCCTCTTGTTTGCTTCGCTCGCCGCCCTACTCCAGCGACTTTGACGAAAACACGGGGGGCGGGCTTCGTGGCTGGACTTGGGGGCCATGGGTGCCAACAAGCCGCACGGGGCCCACCACAGCGGGGACGCCCTTGCGGAGGCTCCCACTGACATGGCAGCAGCCAAACACGCGGCGGCCGCAGCAACGGCCAAGCCTTGTGACCGAGCGGCGGGCTTGGCATCAGCGGCGGCGGCCGCCGCAGACGGCGGCGACGCAGAAGTCAGCCACAGCAGCGGATACGCCGAATTCGCCGCCGCCACGGGGAGCGACGCCGACAGCGACGGCAGCAGCGGCAGGGGCAGCGGCAGGGGCAGCAGGGCTGGCAGCTTTGTGGCGTCGCGCTGGGCGGCGCGCCCCGCTCCAGCCGACGACGCCGTTCGGTTCCTTGCGCTGGCAGTGGTACAGCCCGCGTGCGCCTGGAAGCTGCGGCACGCCATGCTCCCCCGCGAGCTGGCCTACATTGCAGGCGTGGGCACGTACGCCCTGGTCGCCCTGCTGTGGCTGTGCCTGGCGCCCGCCAGCTACCGCCGCCGCCGCACGCCCATAGCAGCCCTCTTCTACCTGGCGATGCAGCTCAGCCAGGCAGCCTTCGACCTCAGCCGCTGGCTCAGCCTGCCAGAGCTGGTGGAGGGCGTGGTCGGCCTGGGCGGCCACGCGGCGGCCCTGTTCTTCCTCATGGCGCTGCTGTGTGCCAGCCTCAAAGCTTCGCTGCTGGTGCGTGGGTGGGTGGGCAGGCAGGGCGGGCTCGCTCTGAGTTGGGGCGGAGCATGGCAGGCCCTTGGGGCCTTTACAGCCTGGCACCAGCGAGCAGCCGCCCACCACCAACCCAAAGTAGCTGCTTTTCCTCGCACCCGCTCCCTCTGACTCGCTACCGCGCCCTTAAGCACCCCCCCCCTTCCCCCTCCCTCCCTGCCGCCCCCCGGGCGCTCCCTGCAGGGCTCGCTCTCCTTCCAGCCTCCGCCGGTGCTGGCGGTGGCGCTGCACCTGGCTGGCACGCTGCTTGCCAGCTCCGGTACCGCCGCAATCTGCAGCAGCGGCCTGCTGACGCACCCCGCCACCCGGCCCTGGATCCATGTGCTGTACCGACTGCTGGAGCCCGCCACCGCGCCGCTGGAGCCGCTGCTGCTGGCCGCGGGGGTCCGCCGCGACCACCCGCACCGCCACTGCCACTGCGGTGAGCCAAGCAGGGAGGCGCCGCCGCCGCCGCCGCTGCTGCCGCTGCTGTGAGCGCCTGGCTCCTCCCCTTCACCGTCCCGCGCGCTCCCGCCCCGCCACCCCCGCGCGCATGGTGCAGTGATGACCACCATGCACATCTGGCTGGTCCTCGTGCTGCCCACGGTCATCGTGGCACGGGGCCACGCCCTGCGGTACCGTGCCTGGCGCGCGGAGCTGCGGCGCAGGGAGCACGCGGCGCGGCAGGCGGAGCGCGCGCAGCGGCGCCTCAAGGCCGAGGCCTGGGGCTTTGGCCTGTCCGAGCCCTCCTCCCTGAGCACCCACTACGCCAGCAGCCTGGGCAGCAGCCGCAGCGCCAGCCTGGGCGGCGAGGCGGAGGCGGAGGCGGAGGAGGTGAAGATGGTGCTGGCGGCGGCGCTGCCGCCCCAGCTGCTGCAGCGCGGCCTGCAGCGCGCGGCCCGGCGGCGGCGCCGGCGCCCCCACCACCCAGCAGACTGGCAGCACGTGGCGGCCTCGCGGGCGCTGCGCGCGTTTGGCGCCGCGCGCGGGCTGTGCATCGTGGCGCTGCTGCTGGCGCCACCGCTGTACGCCTGGCACCGCCAGGCCTTCCGCTGAGCCGGCTGGCTGCCAGTGCGCAACCTGCATTGCAAACTTTCAAGAGCCCCCAACATGAACCCTCGCCTGGAAACGTCATCAAGACCTTCTAGTGAACGCCTTCTGTTAACCCTCATGTATGTTCTGCTAGCCTGCGCCTTTTGCTGTGAACACACAATAACTCTGTCGCGCGCTACAGCTGTAATGCATCCTCTTTCTGCCTGGCTGGCCTCGAAACCACAGTTTTTTCATTTTTATTCCCGAGTGCTTTCCCGTTACTCTGCCCTGGGGACCGCTCTGGTTGTAAATTTCAAGCTTATGCTATACCATTTCTTGCGATAGACGATGCTTCAACAGCTCAAGATATGGAAAAACGGAACCATGCTCCCGCCGCTCAAAGAATCAGGTGTAGTGGCAGGGACAGCAGGATGACCGGCACACAGCGCTTGTCACATGCAGAATCAGCCACCAAACACAGCACCCATCAGTTCGTACACGGTTTCAACTCGCAGGGCGGGCTTGCGCCGCTTGGCATCCCGGATGGCGTCTCGGAAGTTGGCAAGCCGCTCGTCCACGCTGAGGCGCAGCAGGGACGGGTGCTCTGCCGCCAGGCCCACCAGGCCGAGGTGGCTGGGCTCGACTGATGTGAAGCCATGCAGAGCCAGCCGCTCCAGCCGCGTGGCTGCAGCCAGCGCCGCGGTGCTGG